TGATGCGTAAGACAAATAGGATATTGTGAAAATGAAAGAATATGACTTTTTTTTTTGCAGTCCATAAGAAGTGTATTATGTCTTTAAGACACAATAATATTGACTCTTCTCCCAGAGAAGGATCTTTCAGACCCAGGGAGCCATTACCCAGATGAGTGGCCCATTTGTCATTTTCGTAAGTAGCTGGATTCTTCCTCTTGGATTTCTTGAACCCCTAGGCCCTCCATGTATAGATAAGATAAAACACTACAATTGGTGGCACAATGCCAAAGATGCACACCCAGTGTGGCACTGTACACTGGGGATGCCCTTGCTGTAGTGTGCAGGAAGGTGCGATGCTCGAAGGACCACAAAGCTGTATGTGGTCCCATGTTGCATCGATGTTAGATTCTGAAGCTCGTGGCCCAGGGTTGTGGTAGTGCCTCCCTCCCATACAGGGGTCACCTTGCCCTCCCCAGTCATGGGAACTGCTGCCCATTGGAAGGAGTAAGGCTTGGCCATAAAATAGATCATGGCTCCTGCCTTGCTCACCTGGATCATCTGCTCTTGGGAAAGCTAGCTGCCATGTTTCAAGGACACTCAAGTAGACCTATGGACAGATACATGTGACGAGGAACTTAGACATCCTGCAAACCAGCACCAACCAGGTGTATGAGCAGCTTTCTTGAAAGCGTATCCTCCACCCCAGTCAAGCCTTCAGATGACTGAAGCCTCAGCCAACATCTTCACCACAACCTCTGAGACTTTGAGCCAAAACTACTTCAGAAGCTGCTCCCAAATTCCTAACCCCCAGAAACTGTGTGAGATCTACATGTTTATTGTTCTAAGCCATTAAATATTAAGGTAACTCAGTAGATATCAATAAGCAATAACTGACATAGATCCTCAAAAGAGCCCCAGGAGGGAGGGACCATCATGATTACCATTGTACAGAAGGGGAAGCTAAGTCCAGAGAGGGGGAATCTTGTCCAGGGCACATAGATAGTGAACAGTGGGACTGAACCCGGGTTTGGATGCCTGAAGAGTCTACCCACTGGGATGAAGGATGTCCGAAGTGAGTGCCAGCTCTGCCCTTGAAGGGCTAAGGACAGAACCAGAACACCTGAAAAAAGAATCTCCCCTCAATACACATTTGTGCAGGTAACCTCAGGGCTGACGGGACCATAAACCGGCATGGCCACCAGAGGAAAACAAGGCAACAGAAGAGAAAATCAGCAGAAACACTCAGAGTTCGGATGGCAATATTATCAGACACAGATTATAAAAGAAAAATGTGTACTGCCCTGAAATAAATAACAACCTTGAAACTGTGGCCAAAGTATAGGAACTTATATCAAGTGACAACAGATTTGAAAACCCAACAGAACTTCTAAAACAAAAAATACAATAACAAAAATTAAAAATTCAAAAGCTAAGGGGTGCCTGGGTGGCTCAGTTGGTTGTCTGCCTTCTGCTTGGGTGGTGGTCTTGGGGTCCTGGGATGGAGCCCTGCACCAGGCTCTCTGCTCATTGGGGAGTCTTCTTCTCCTTTTCCCTCTGTGATCTCTCTTGTTCTCACTCTCTCAAATAAATAAATAAAATCTCTTAAAAAATAAACATTAAAACAAATTCAAACGCTGGCTTAAACTACAGACTAGATGTGACAAAAGAGGGAATAGTGAGCTAGAAATCTAACATCAGGGACGCCTGGGTGGTTCAGCGGTTGAGCATCTGCCTTGGGCTCAGGGTGTGATTCCGGGTCCAGGGATCGAGTCCCGCATAGGGCTCCCTGCGAGGAGTCTGCTTCTCTCTCTGCCTGTGTCTCTGCCTCTCTCTCTCTCTCTCTCTCTCTCTCTCTCTCTCTCTGTGTCTCTTTTATTTATTTATTCATGAGAGACACACACACACAGAGAGAGAGAGAGGCAGAGACACAGGCAGAGGGAGAAGCAGGCTCCACACAGAAGCCCGACATGGGACTCGATCCTGGGACTCCAGGATCATGCTCTGGGCCAAAGGCAGGCACTAAGCCACTGAGCCACCCAGGGATTCCAAAAATAATTTAAAATCTTAAAAAAAAAAAATCTAACATCAACCACACATCCAACAGACTCTCTAGGGGTGCCTGACTGGCTCAGTTGATAGAGCATGCAAATCTTGGTATCAGAGTCATGAGTTTGAGCCCCACATTGGGCATAGAGATTACTTAGAGAGAGAGAGAGAGACTCTATAAATTTTCACACATAAACATATTGTAGTGAAAATGCAAAAAGACAAAAAAAAATCTTAGAAGTACTCAGAGGAAAAAAAAAACAGATTACTTTCTAAAGAATAGTAGTACATGGATGAAGCTCAAAAACATAATGCCACATCAAAGAAGCCAGTTACTAAGGACCACACATTGTAAGATTTAATTAATACAGGAATAGGAAAACCTACAGAGATCAAAAGTAGATTAATGCTGAGGGGTTGGAGGATACCAGGTGGCAGGGTGTCTGCTAATGGGTACTAGGTTTCTCTAGGGGTGATTAAAATGTTCTAAGATTAGATTGTGGCCATGGTTGTATATAGAAGTCTGTAAATGTACTAAAAACCATTAAATTGTACACTTTAAATAGGTGGCTCTTATAGTATATCAATTGTATGTCAATAAGGCTGTTAAAAGAAAGAACAGCTGTTAGACTGACAGGTGGTGACGTCTCAGTAGCAGCCATGGTAGCCAGAAGACAATGGAGGGCTATTGTCAAGGTGCTGAGATGCCAGCTGGAATTCTCCCAGTGAAAATGTCTATCAATGGAACGCCTTTGGCTCAGGGCGTGATCCCAGGGTCCCAGGATCGAGTTCCACATCGGGCTTCATGCATGGAGCCTGCTTCTCCCACTGCCTGTGTCTCTGCCTGTGTCTCTGTGTCTCTCATGAATAAATAAATATTTTTAAAAAAGAAAATATCTATCAAGACTGAGGTCTAATTAAGACTTCAAACAGGAAAAAAAAAAAGACTTCAAACAGGGACGCCTGCGTGGCTCAGTGCTGGAGCATCTGCCTTAGGCTCAGGGTGTGATCTGGGGCTCCTGGGATCGAGTCCCACATCAGGCTCCCCACAGGGAGCCTGCTTCTCCTTCTGCCTGCGTCTCTACCTCTCTCTGTGTCTCTCATGAATAAATAAATAAAATCTTTTTTTTTTTAAAGACTTCAAACAAAGACTAAGAAAACTCCTATAGGGAATGTTAAAATAGTGGCTCTCAAACTTGACTTCTTAGAAGGGTAGAGAGTGTTGTAAGTTCCTGATGCCTGGGCCTGGCCCAAGATTCTGAATCAGCTGATCTAAGATGTGGCCCGGACAGCACTATTTTTAAAAGCTCTGCAGGCGATTTGAAAGCATAGCCCAGATTGAGAACCTCTGTGTTAAGGGATGCCTTAACAGTCAGAAATGCCTTCATCCATTTTAAGATGTAATCCTTGAGCACCTATTATACAGTTAGCAAAACAGACCAGAGTCCTGGCCTCTGGAAAAGGGAAACAGACAAAAAACCAAAATAAATAATTAAAATACGCCATTAGATAGTAATACATGCTTTAGAAGGAAAAAAAAAAATGGGATCCCTGGGTGGCTCAGCGGTTTAGTGCCTGCCTTCAACCCAGGGCGTGATCCTGGAGTCCCGGGATTGAATTCCACATCGGGCTTCTTGCATGGAGCCTGCTTCTCCCTCTGCCTGTATCTCCGCTACTCTCTCTCTCTCTCTCTCTCTCTGTGTGTGTGTCTCTTATGAATAAATAAAATCTTTTTAAAAAAGATTTTATTTATTTATTCATGAGATGTGGAATTCAATCCCGGGACTCCAGGATCATGCCCTGGGTTGAAGGCAGGCACTAAACCGCTGAGCCACCCAGGCTGCCCTGAATAAATAAAATCTTAAAAAAAGAAGAAGAAGAAGAAGAAGAAGCAGCAGCAGCCAGGAAGGAGGACATGAAATGTTGGCTGTATGTGGGTGTGTGAAATTTCAGATAGAGTGACCGGGAAGACTTTTGGGTAAAGACCAAACTAAAGGGAGAGAGCAAGCCATAAAAATATTTGGGTTATGGCAATTGCAAAGACACTGAGGGGGAGTGTGTCCGCCTTGTTCCAGGACCTAGGACGCCAGTGGGCTTGAGTGGGGATGAGCCAAGTAACCAAGGGAGGCCTCACTAAAATTGAATGGGGAGGCCAGGAAGGGGAGCTCCGACAGGTACCACTGGAGCTCTGACAGGTACAGGAAGACTTGTCCATTACACACCCCAACAAAGAGTCCTCAAGGGGAAGGAATCAACTATGGGCCCCAACAGGGAAAGATGTGCATTGCATCTCCTACAAGAAATCCACTACCTCTGTAAATCCGCCAATGAGAAACTGTTATCACCCTGAACTCTTGCTTTTCTGCAATGGACTTTCGCTCAAAACACCCCTCCCAATTTCCTCCTTAGTAAAATTGTGTTCCTTTCCTTTGTTAGTCTTGCCCGTGGTTTTTCAGAGCTCGAATGTCCCAAATTCCGATTCTTGGCTATTTCTGAATGAACCCATTTTGCTGGAAAAATAACTGGCCGTTTTATTTTTTAGTTTTAACAGTAGTCCGAGAAGGAGGGGAGGCAGTTTTCAGGGCGTGGGGAGGACCTAGGCTTTTACTTTGCCGTGAGAGTGTTGGGAAGTCTGGGAGTGTTTTAAGGATTGACATGATTTGATTTACATTCTAGGGACCCTCTGGTAGCAGGTGGAAAATGGGACTGTCCGGGCCAAGAGGAGAAGCAAGGAGCCGAGGGAGGACAGAACCTCCGTTAGTCTGCCGCAAACCGAGCCGAGGATGCGGCTGACCCTCAGGCGTGGGAGTGGGTCTGCGGAGGCGGAGCGGGGAAACTGCGCCCCACTCCAATTCCGTCCGGGCCCCGCCCCCGCCCGGACCCCGCCCCCTCCCTGCTCGGGCCCCGCCCCCTCCCCTCCCCGCGCCCCGCCCCTCCCGTCCGGGCCCCGCCCCCACCCCTTCCCGCGGCGCTGCGGGCGCGGCTGGGCGGGTGAGTGAGGGTCGGGGAGACCCGGGCCAGCCCCACAGGGGCCACTCCGGCCAAGGTCATTGCGCACCCGGCCGCAGGGATCCGGAGCGGGGCGGGGACCGCCGGGGACCGCGCAGGCGGTGGGGGGGGGGCGGCGTCCGGATGTCCCGACGCTCTGCTGCCCTACTTCCGGGGCCTCCACTTTCGCTTTCCGTTCCGCTGTAGCTGCTCTCCTCCCCACCTCGGTCTGGGGCCGCCCCGGAGGGAGTGTGGCTGCCGTCCCGGACGCCGGGGGGCGCTCCCTGCACCGAGAAGAGGGCCCTCCCCGGGGACCAGCAGCGCCCGGCGGTCGGCGTCACTCTCCTCCCCGCACCAGGCCCGTCTCGCCTCCTCTGTCGCCCATCGAGGGCCTGGCTCGGTGCCGCCTGCCCTTTCACCCCCCCCCCCCTCCGCGGGGTCCCGGTTCCTTCCTACAGCCGGTGCCCGGGGCTGGTGATGTTACCCGATTGCCGCTGGGGACACCAAGGCACAAAGAGGGCGCGGGCCGCGCCTGAGGCCGCCTCTGGCCGGGGCTGAGTTGCTGTGGCCGTCCGCCCTCTGCCAGGTGACCCAGGTGACCCAGGGATAGCGTTTCTCCGGAGCTGCTGCCCCCGCCTGGGGGGATGGGCGCAACCCCGCCGGATGGACGAGAAGACCAAGAAAGGTGGGCACCCCCTGGAGGCGCCGGGAGACTTCCGTTAGGAGGTGGGCCCAGGCAGGACCCGGCCTCCCCTAACCCGAGGTCCTGGACGAGGGAGCTTGACCGGTCCTCCCTCTACCCACCTGCCCTGCAGTTTCCTTCCTTGGGGCCTGGTTGCTTCCAGAGGCTTGTCATTCAACTATGGGATACCTCTGAGGCCACCGCAAGCCAGCTCCGCTGCCAAGGGCGTGGGGAGCTCCCAGGCTGGTGAGGGGACATGGATCTTGACCTGAATACCAGGGGTCCATGCCTCCCCTCTTCCTCTTTCCCCCAGCATTATACAGCATGCCAAGTCCTGTCATCACTCTGCTTAAAGACCCTCCTGTGCTCCTCTGTGTTCTTAAAGGCCAGAGTCCTTACTTAGCCCACAAGGCCTTTCGGGCATCATTGACCTCATAGTCTTAGCCCATTCACCCCCTTGTTCATTCCAGTGACGCTCCACCGGCTTCTTTCTGTTCTCACCCAACCATTTCTTGCTCAAGGCCAATCCCTTACATTTCTCTCCACCTGGAATACTCTTCCCTAACTGGGTCTGGGCTTATGTAACTTCTTCTGGTCTCAGCTTCAGCACCACCTCCTCCTGGAGGTCTTCCCTGATCTCCTTACCCTGTTTATTTCCTTGCCAGCATGGATCACGATCTCAATTTTTTTTCTATTGTTTGTCTCCTTACTGGGCTGGGAGGTCCATGAGGAGAGGGACAATGTTTATCTTATTCACTGCTGAATCCCAGTTTCTGGAACAGTGTTTGGTGCACGGTAGGAGCTCAGTAAATGCTTGTCAGATAAATGAATGGAAGTAAGGGGGCCTGGGAGTATGAAGGAAAAATAGAACCAAATGAACAGGGAATAGGAGCATCAGAGACCCTTCAGAGAAAGGGACTTTTAAGCTGAGTACTGAAGGATATGTAGGAGTTCACCAGGAAGACAGAGGAAACAGCATGTACAAGGATCACCACCTCCCTTACCCCTAGCTCCTGAAAAAAAAAAAAAAACAAAACAAAACCCTGTGCTAACCTGCTTCCACCCTGTTGGATTTCAGCCGAGGAGATGGCCCTGAGGCTCACCCGAGCAGTGGCAGGCGGGGATGAACAGGTGGCAGTGCAGTGTGCCATCTGGCTGGCAGAGCAACGGGTGCCCCTGAATGTGCAACTAAAGCCTGAGGTCTCCCCAACACAGGACATCAGGTGAGGAGCGCGTGATTGGCTAAAGACTTAGTGTTTCCTGAACCCCAGTGGACCACAATATAATCTTGCCTATAGAACAGTTACGCTTAATGGCAGGTTCTGGTGTCAGGAGACCTAGTTTCGAACCTGAGCTCTGTCACTAATCAACTGTGAGATATATGACAAGTCACTTCACTTCTCAGTTTCAGGTTTGTTTTTTTTTTAATTTAAAAAATGGGGCAATAATAATAAGCTATCTCATAGGGTTGTTAGAAGGCATATGAGAAAGTTAGTCCTCACATGACAGGAAAAAAACATAACTGTGGCATAAACAAGTTCGGTGGCCAGTAGTCTACATGTGGAGGCTGTGCTTCCTGCAGTCCTCAGAGACTCCTGCTTCTGTCTTGTTATTCTGCTGTTCATGGACTCCATTCTGAGGTTTGCTTCTTGGTCAAAAGTGGCTGTTCCAGCTCCAGCCATCATATTAGCATTCTTGTCAGCTGGAAGGAGAAAGATGTGTCTCTCCCAATCAAATGGGGGTGAGGGGCAAATGTGGGGACACCCTAGCTGGTGGCCCCAGGCAGTGAAATAATTCACCCAAAGTTTATTGAATACATGGCAAGGGAGCAAGACTGTTTGCGGTGAGGTGGGGGGCTGTAGTTAAAGGGCACAGTGGAATGGATAGAATTTCCCTTTCTTTGGTAACTGTGCTTGGTGTAAGTAACCCATTGGCCAGCTGGGGCTTTGGGTATTCTGAGGTGGGTCACTTAATGTTTGCATTCAGCTTTGATGGTCACTGTGGGTCCTTTTGCCTTGATCTCAGCTCCTCTGCTCAAGCTTGCTGCCCAGGAGCAGCCTCTACGAAAGGGAAGGGGACACCCCCTCCCACACTTAGGAGCACACAGCCCAGAATGTTGCACACCTCTTCCCCGGAATTCCTGTGGACCAGAGCTCAGTTTGAAGGGAGGCTGTGGAATGTGACCAGACATCCAAGTAGAATTCAGGGGCTCTGTTAGCCAGAAAAGCAAGGGAGAATGGATACTGGTTAGTCTTTCCCAGGAGACTTAAACTTGACGTTGTGATGCTTAGCACAGTGCCTCGCACATGGTAATCACTCAATAAACGGTGGTGTTGATCTGGGTTTTTTTTTCCTGCTGCATAGTAAAACTGTACTTTCAGTTTGATTTTTCTTTTCTTTCTTTTTCTTTTTCTTTTTCTTTTTTTAAAGATTTTATTTATTAGAGACACAGAGAGAGGCAGAGACACAGGCAGAGGGAGAAGCAGGCTCCATGCAGGGAGCCCAGGTCTCCAGGATCACGCCCTGGCCTGAAGGCGGCGCTAAACCGCTGAGCCACCGGGGCTGCCCTGATTTTTCAATGATCCTGGTGGATCCCATTTGATTTTTTAAATGGTTTTATTGAGATATAGTTGACATACCATACAACTCAACAATTTAAAGTGTATGGCTCAAGGCTTTTAGTATATTCAGGGCTATGCAACCATCATCACCATCAATTATAGAACGTTTTTATCGCTTTGTACAAAACCCTGGTCTGCGCTTACTAGTAGTCACTACTCATCTCCTTGTCTTTGCTTAACACCAGCCTTGGGCAGCCACTAATCGTTATCTCCAGGGATGTGCCTGGTCTGGACATTCCATTTAAATGGACTCATACAATATGCGGTTTTTTGTATCTGGCTTCTTTCACTTAGCATCATGTTTTCTCAATTCATCCATTAAGTAGTGTGTATCAGAACTGTATTCCCTTTATTTTTATTTATTATTATTATTTTTAAGTAGGCTTCCCTAAGCGTGGAGTGCAGTGTGGGGCTTGAACTCATGACCCTGAGATCAAGACCTGAGCTGAGGAGCACCTGGGTGACTCAGTGGTTGAGCATCTGCCTCTGGCTCAGGTTGTAATCTCAAGGTCCTGGGATCGAGTCCCGCAGCAGGCTTCCTGTAGCAGGAAGCCTGCTTCTCCCTCTGCCTATGTCTCTGCTCCTCTCTCTGTTTCTCATGAGTAAATAAATAAAATGTTAAAAAAAAAAAAAGACTTGAGCTGAGATCAAAAGTTGGATGCTTAACGAACTGAGCCACCCAGGCACCCCAGAACTCTATTCCTTTTTGTTGCTGAATAATAATCCATTGTATGAAAATACCATTTTCCCTATCTGTAATCAGATCCCTAATCCATTGTATGAAAATACCATTTTCCCTATCTGTAATCCCTAAATGTAATCATTTGATGAACATGGAGTTTTTTCCACTTTTTGGCTAATGTGAATATTGCTGCTATGAACATTTGTGTCCAGCTTTTCTTTTTTTTTTTTTTTAAGATTTTATTTATTTATTCATGAGAGACACAGAGAGAGAGACAGAGACACAGGCAGAGGGAGAAGCAGGCTCCATGCAGGGAGCCTGATGTGGGACTCGATCCCGGGATCTGGGATCATGCCCTGAGCCAAAGGCAGACCCTCAACCGCTGAGCCACCCAGGCGTCCCTATGTGTCCAGCTTTTCATATGCACATATCTTTTCTCTCAGTTTTAATGAGGGATCATTGACATATAACATTGTATTAATTTGAGGTGATGTGATAGTGCGATTTATAATAAGGAATATATATATATTTGGTCTTTGTCTTTCCCTGCCACAGAGCTCCTTGGAACTTCATAAGTGACGAGAGTGGTAAAGGTGTCTTTTGCTAGGCGAATGAGGTGACTTCTGGAATGTCCCTAGATGACCTAAGGATAGCGGCTGGGCACCACCAGAGGAACCAACCCTGTGATTAGAGGGTTGGAGCTTTCCAGTGGCATCTACCTGACCTCCTGGGAGGGGACAGGGGCTGGAGGTTGAGTGAGTCCCCAGTGTTGGTGGTTTAATCAGCCATGCCTACATCATGGAATCTTCACAACAACTGAAAAGGACAGGGTTCAAGAGAGCTTCTGGGTTGGTGACCACATGGAGATTTGGGGAGAATGGTAGAGTCCAAGAGGGCATGGAAGCTCCTCACCCCTTCCCCATACCTTGCTCTATGCATTGCTTTCATCTGGCTTTTCCTGAATTATATCCTTTTATAATAAACCAGTGATCTAGTTAGTAAAATGTTTGTGAACTGCTCTAGCAAATTAATTGAACCCAAGGAATGGGCTCTTGGATTCCCCCAGTTTTTTTTTTTTTTTTTTTTTTTTTAAGATTTTATTCATGAGAGGGATCCCTGGGTGGCGCAGCGGTTTGGCGCCTGCCTTTGGCCCAGGGCGCAATCCTGGAGACCCGGGATCGAATCCCACATCAGGCTCCCGGTGCATGGAGCCTGCTTCTCCCTCTGCCTGTGTCTCTGCCTCTCTCTCTCTCTCTCTGTGACTATCATAAATAAATAAAAATAAATAAATAAAAATTCCCATCACCTTTAAAAAAAAAAAAGATTTTATTCATGAGAGAGAGAGAGAGGCAGAGACACAGGCAGAGGGAGAAGCAGGGCCCCCACAAAGAGCCTGATATGGGACTCAATCCTGGACCCTAGGATCATGCCCTGAGCCAAAGGCAGACACTCAACCACTGAGCCACCCAGGCGTTCCCGGAACCCCTAGTTCTATAGCCAGTGAGTCAGCACAGGTGACAGCCCGGGCTTGTGATGGGCATTGGGGGGGTGGGCAGTCTGGGTCTGAGCCCTCGACCTGCAGATGCTGCTGCTATCTCTGGTTGCAATATAGGATGCCCTGCTGGTGCCCGAGAATTGTTGGGGGTTATGTGAGGAGCCCCCCTCTTCCTGTCCACAGGTTGAAAATGGAGTCTCAGAATCCTTTTAAATGTACAACATAATGATTTAGTAGATGTGTGTATTGTGCAACGATGGCCACAATAAGTTAATATCCATTGCCTCACGTATTTACATATTATTATTATTTTTAAGTAATCTCTACACTCAACATAGGACTCAAACTCACCACCCTGAGATCAAGGGGTCTCATGCTCTACTGACTTAGCCAGCCAGGCATCCCTATTTTTTCTTGCAATCAGAGCTTTTAAAATTCATTCTCAGCAATACTCAAATATATAACATAGTATCATTAACTGTAGTCATCATGCTGTACATTACCTCTCCATGGTTTGTTTATGAACCTCAGTACTGTTATCACACCTAATAATTATTAATAATTCCTTAAAATCCTCTAATACTGTTTGTTAAAATTTCCCTGATTATCTAATTAACAGTTTTTATAGTGATTTTGTTCCTGTCGAAGCCAAAGGCGATCTACACATAGCATTTCTTAATATTGTTTTTTTTTTTTTAATCCTTTCTCTTTTTCTGCTATTAATTTAAGGAAACTGGTCTCTGACCTCCAGGATTTTTCCACATTCTGGATTTATTAATTGCTGTCTTGGGATGTCATTTAGGACCTCCAGGTTTTCTTGTAGTTCAATATGAAGGTTAGATTAGTCAGAAGCATCTTTTTACGTTCCCAGGCGCTCTTCCTCATTTACTGATTACTGCTTTCCATTCTTATTCTCTACTCGGATTTTTCTGTTTCTGTTGGGATCAGTTCTGTTTTTTTTTTTTTTTTTTAATCTTAGCCCTTCCTTTTCATGCTTTTGATCTTCCAGAAATGCTGAAGGGTCCTTGAGGAGGACCCTTTCTCTGATCATTTCTCTGAAATGATACACTGGGTTGAAATCCTGCCTCTCATGGACATTCAGCGCTTGCTGGGTAGAGTCTATTTAGTTTGTGTGACCTGGCTGTGCCTCGTGGTTTCATCTGTATAATAGTGGTGACAACACGATCGGCCTCATGCATTTGTGGAGAGGATTAAATGAACTAAAACATAAGAAGTGCTTTGAAGTGTCTTGGCATATAATAAATAGTAAGTGTTGGTGGCCAGGCTAAGGAGCAAAGGACAGGATGATAGAGGAGGCCGGAGAATGGGCAGGGATTTGATTCTCAGAGCAGTGTGGGGCCACTGCAGGGGCTGAAGCATGGGGTTCTGATCAAGAAGGAAGCACGAGCCTGTGGGAATCCAGGAAAGGCCCCTAACCCAGACTGGGGGGCTGTGGGCATGTGCCCGTGTGTCCGTAGACATGCATGTGCAACCACAGTGTGCAGACCTATACGAGCTGATAGCTGGTGCTGAGGTTGGACCTGTGACCTTCTCCACAGGCTATGGGTAAACGTGGAGGATGCTCAGATGCACACAGTCACCATCTGGCTCACAGTGCGCCCTGACATGACAGTGGCTTCCCTCAAGGATATGGTGAGTTGGCCGGGGGAAGGGGGTAGTCGCTTCCCATTTTGCTTCTGCCTCTCTTTCCTCTGCTGTTCCCTTTGCACTCTGCCTCTCTGTGTGTCAGGTGTTCCTGGACTACGGCTTTCCGCCTGTGCTGCAGCAGTGGGTGATCGGGCAGCGGCTGGCCCGGGACCAGGAGACCCTGCACTCCCACGGGGTGCGGCGGAATGGGGACAGTGCCTACCTCTACTTGCTGTCAGCCTGCAACACCTCGCTCAACCCTCAGGAGCTGCAGCGGGAGAGGCAGTTGCGGATGCTGGAAGGTGAGGCTCTGCCTCTGAGCGACTTGGGACTCACCTGAGGTCACAGGGCAAGAGGGAGCAGAGCCCTTGGGCTTTCCATCAGGAGCTCTTGCCAGGGAGGACGACATTCTTCCTAGTGGGCAAAAGAGGACAGCCCCCCACCCCCTAGGGAGCCATTTCCAAGCCACTGAGAGCAGGTGGTCTGGGGGAGAAGGGGGGCTGAGTTCAGTCCTGGCTCCAGCATTTATCGGCTGTATGACCTCATGCAAGTCCCTTCGTCTCTGGTCCTCTGTTTCTAAATCTGTAAATTGGCTGTGATGATAATAATAGTGTCTACATTTTTGGCTTATTATCTGGAAATATTTCAGACTTACAGAAAAGTTGCAAAATCGTACAAAAAATTGTATAACAAATTCCAAGTACCTTTTACATGGATTCCCTAACATTTCATCACAATTGTTTTGCTTTGTCATTCTCTATATAAAATTATTTATTTTTGTCTAAATACTTTTTCCTGAACCGTTGTGAAGGTGCAGACATGACATCCCTTCTCACCTAAATATTTCAGTGTCCATTTTCTTTCAAAAGGTGTCATTTTCTTAACATTTCCACATGCAACTACCAAACTTAGGAAATCAACAATGATTATTTAATCCACAGATTTTACCCAAATTTTACCAGTTGTCACATGAATATCCTTCACAGCAAGAGAGACCTGGCAGTGACATCATGTCTCTCAGGGTCCTTTGGTATTTGGTATCCACAGTCTTCCTTTGACGTTCCTGATATTCGAAGAGTCCAGCCAGTTTTGTTTTTCTGCCCCATGTGCCCTCATGAATGGATGCACATTCAGTATTTGGCACGAGCATCTCAGAAGTGATTGTGCCTCTAGGTGCAGGACTTCGGGAGCATAGGAAGCCGGTTTTTAGGTCGGGAAGCAGGAGCATTCACGGGTGGAGGAGGAACTCTGACCCTGTGGGAGCCGGACACTCGGCCAGGCCTCTGCTCACCTGGCGACCCGAGTGGGAGACTCCCCGAGGGAGGAGGAACCGGTGCGGGGCGCAGGGCGCCTGGCTGGCGCGGCGCGTGCACGAAGTGCGCTGCATGGCTCTGCCACCCCGAAACCCTCCTCCCTAGATCTGGGCTTCAAGGACCTCACGCTGCAGCCCCGGGGCCCCCTGGAGCCAGCTCTTACGAGGCCGGGAGTCCCCCAGGAGCCCGGGCGGGGCCAGCCCGACGCCGCGCCCGAACCCCCGCCGGTAAGCCGCTCCCCCCCTCCGCGTGCCCGGGACCGCAGCCCCGCCCTCGACTCCGCCCCGCGCTCCCGGGCCCCGCCCCCTGACTCCCCGCGCGGGGACCCCGGCAGCCCCGCGCAGGGTTCCAGCCCCCGCCCCCCGACTCTGCCCCCAGGTGGGCTGGCAGTGCCCCGGCTGCACCTTCATTAACAAGCCCACGAGGCCCGGCTGCGAGATGTGTTGCCGGGCGCGGCCGGAGGCCTACCAGGTCCCCGCCTCCTACCAGCCGGACGAGGAGGAGAGAGCGCGCCTGGCGGGCGAGGAGGAGGCGCTGCGCCAGTACCAGCAGGTGGGCGCGGAAGTGCCGGGGCAGACACCCTCGGGGCGGGGGGGGGGGGGGACGTAGGACGGAAATGGAGGCGCCTCTGCATTGCCGCTCCTCCCCCGTTGCTGCTTTGCCCGCTCCTGACCCCACTGCTGGTGGTGACCCTGCACTAGACTGTGACTCGCCCTCCCCTGGAGGCCTCAGCTCCCTGGCTGTGGTCACATGACCCGCCCCAACTTGGGCTGTGGCTCCCCACTCCGCTTTGACTTACACACCCACTGTTCATACAACCGCCCCAGGCTATGACTCCACTACCCTAGCTCCGACCATGCTTTTGGCCACCTCCTCATACCTCCTCCTTATCTGCCTATGACCTAGCTCTTGCTCCACTTAGACATCGCCTCACCCTGGACCCTACAATTACTGACCTCCCTCCCCGTAGTGATTCACCCCGGACTTCCTAAGAGGCTGGACCCAGCCCCTCACCCTCCCTGCGAAATTGACCCCGCCCTCTGTCCTGCCCCTCCCATAGCTCTGCCCCCGATTCTGACACAAGCCCTGATTACACAGATACCAGATCCTGAGTGTTCCCCATTCTGATCGGATGCCCCCCACCCCCCACCTGCATTCCCCTTGGATCCAGTGCTATCCTTGCCCCATCCCAGCCATGACCTCATTCGTGGTCTTACCTCCAGCCTTGGCCCAGACCCCGTCCTCTTTCCCGTCCCGCTTTGCTCCCTAGCTTTATCACCATCTCCATACCCCTGACCCACTCTGTGACCTTGACCGACCCCACCCCCTGCCCAACCCCGCCCTGCTTCTTGACCGAGACGTGAGCCCTGTTACCCTAGACCACCCCCTCAGACTTCACCTCCTTCCTTTCCCTGCCATCACTCCCTCGCGTGGCTTGCCCCGGGTTGCAGCCCCAGCCTGCCCCAGCCTGGCCCGCCTCCCCCCCCGGCCCCACTCTGGCCCCCACGCTTCCCGCCATCTCGTCTCCTGCCCACCGCCAGGCCACCCCCACCCCCACCCAGGGATCCTGACTCTCCCCCACCTCTGCCCCGTCTCCGGAGTCCGCCCCGGTCCCCTGGTCCTGCCCCCTTCCCGGTCGGCCCCTCCCCTGAGACCCTGACCTGCCCCGCGGCCCCGCCCCGTGTGCCCAGCGGAAGCAGCAGCAGCAGGAGGGGAACTACCTGCAGCACGTCCAGCTGGATCAGAGGAGCCTGGTGCTGAACACCGAGCCCACCGAGTGCCCCGTGTGCTACTTGGTGCTGGCGCCCGGCGATGCCGTGGTGCTGCGTGAGTGTCTGCACACCTTCTGCAGGTGCGGCCCCCAACCCCACCCCCAGCAATGCCCCGATTCTCGCAGCCGCCAATTACCGGAGGGCTGAGAGTGGGTGGGCCCGTGCTCTTACATCTCATTGGATGCCCGCAAAAACCTGCGAGGTAGGCGCTGTCACCCCGTTTTTGCCCAGGAGTGTGAGGTGCAGAGAGGCCAGCGACTCGCTCAGGGGTTCAAGTTGCAGCGCCTGCGCCCCTTGCCGCTACCTGCGCAGGGGCGTCCAAGCCTATGGGGACCCCATCCCTGGTGGACTGAGCCAAGCCTGCTCTAGCTGGCTGGCGGGCCGGCGGCCAGTCCTGGGCTGTGGAGACCGTGTCCTCCTTTCCCACGGCAGACATTGGTTGAGTGGCCCCTGGGTGCCAGGGGGCTGTGCTGGTCCTGGAGATCCAGGAGTGAGCAGAGCAGCTCAGTTCCTGCCTCCCGAACCTTACATTCCAGTGGAGAGGCTGATGTTAATCAAATAATTACTGGGGTCACTGTAAATTGTGTCAAATGCTAAGTTCCAGTGAATTGTGAGGGAAAACAACAAACCAGGAGCCCTGCCTCAGGAGGGGGTGGTCAGGGAAGCCCCTAGGGAGGTAGCACGGGAACAGGGACCAGAAGGTCTGGTGCAGGTGTCAGTGTGGCCAGAGCAGAAGGGTGAACAGAGGTGTTAGCGAGGATGGGCCACCGGGGTTCTTGGGAGCCGTAGTGAGGGCTGCAGGTTTTTGGGCAGGTCCGGAGGGGAGGCTGCTGGGGAGGAGCAGCCACTGTGTTGAGAGTGGACTCTAGGAGCGAAGTGGATGCAGGGACCCCAGTGAAGATGTGCCTGTGGTCCTCCAGGCGAGGGGTGACGGGGGCCTGGACCAGAGCAGTGGAGGTGGCAGTGGGGTGGATAGAAGTGGAGGCCTTGGTGATGGGTTTGTGGGAGGGACAGGAGGGAAGGAAGGGAGGTGTTGAAGAAAAGCCTACCTGGGGTCAGGCCCCACCACGTGAAAGGGGTAGTCTGGGTGGATGGGGTTCAGGTGGCGCTAACCTCCAGCCCCTGCCCCTCTCCTCCTCCAGGGAGTGCCTGCAGGGCACCATCCGCAACAGCCAGGAGGCCGAGGTCTCCTGCCCCTTCATTGACAACACCTACTCGTGCTCGGGCAAGCTGCTGGAGAGGGAGATCCGGGCGGTAAGGCCTGGGGGAGGGAGGGGACACCCTGCACCAGCAGGTGGGCATGGGCTTGGGGCTGGGTCTCAGCACACATTTATCTGGAGCCTTCTGCGGGGGATGCTGGGGGCCAAGCAGTGAAGAGGACGGGACTCGGGGAAGTAGCTGGTATAGAAACCACTGTTGTGAAGGAAAGATAGCAGAGCCCTTAAGAGTGGGGGCAACTCTGGGGCCACTGGCCTTGGTGACCCCAAGTCAGATATTCAACCCGTGCCTTGCTTTTCTCACATCAGTTAGTTGAAGTTAGTTTTTTGAAAGGTTGTGAAGAATATCGTAGAGGGTGTGTGTAAAGATTTTAGAGTAGCCCGTGATGCATGGTGGGTAAGCCCTTGTGCCAGTTTGCTTATGCTGCGTAACAAGGTAGTCTGGACACAGTGTCTTCAAACAACCACTGTTTATTTAGCTCATGAATCTGCAAGTTACTCATTGGGGTTGAGCTTAGCCAGACGATTCTCGTAGCTCCTGATTCTTCTAGCTCTTGCTGGGCCTGGCTGCTCCCAGGTGGGTTTAGCTGGTGGGTCGGCTGGCTCGGACTATGACACTGGCCTTAGTTGCAGCTGCGGCAGCTGGGCCTCTTTCCACTTTGCTCGCGGGCCCTGGGGCAGGCTGGCCAGGCCTGCTCACCTGCGGTGGTCCCTAGGTTCCAGGAGCAGCCAGCGGGGGCTCCAGTGCAAGAGAGCTTGCCCAGTCTCTGCTCTTCTGTCACTTGCTGCCCTGCCCATGTTGCCCAAGCCAAGTCCCTGGGAGAGGGGACCACTCACAGGTGGAGGCAGGGAGATGTGAAGAAATCGGGGCCATCGCTCCAGCAGTCCTCCAGGGCTGTACGGGTCTGCATGCGTGTTCGCTGTTACTGTTATTAACATCGTTACCAAGTTCTCCCCTTCCCTGAGTCTCCATTCCCCCACCTGGAAAATTGACTGTTGGGCTTGATTCATGGTTTTTAAACTGCTGGGGAAGGGCCTTCTCAGAATTGGGCATCTTGGGATTGCCAGGCCAAAACATGAGGCAGTGTCAAAGGTGGCTGAGGTCCAAGTGGGAGGACCCCCACAGGCACACCCCCAAGACCTCTGTTCCCCCTGCCTCTCCCTTAGGATCCTGCTTCTGTGAACCTGCCTGACTGCACCTAGGATTTGCAGAGCCCTGGGGGTCTACTTCAGCAGAGAAGGGGGAGGCAGGAAGGGTAGAGCTTGGGAACTCCCTCCTACACCGGAGGAGCGGCTCTGGGCAGCTGCAGAGGCCTTCTTGCTGTGGCCTGGAAAGTCCCCAGACATAGTCACTCATTCCGTATGTCCTGGCTCCCATGGTCATCACCCACAGGTTTTCCCTTGAGGCTCACCCCTGCCAAGGGCACTGATGGGACCAGAGTTCCTGCTAAGGGGCCGCAGGGCCCATGCTTCCTCAGAGCCCCCAGGAATTGCCCCAAGACCCTGAGAAAGCCGGGAGTGGCAGAGGGAGAAAGGGGCAGGGATCAGTGGAGTAGTGCACTGGAGGTTATCTTTACAAAACACACGCCTAAACCACATAGAACTGGAAGAGAAATCAAAAAGACAAGTCACCCACGCAACCCTGCCATCCCAGGGGATCCCTGACTGCATTTTCTCCTGTTCCCTTGGGTCTGTGGGCAGACATGATTTTACTCCTTTTTAAATCAAGTTTACTAAGGCAAACTTGGCACGCAATAGGATGCACCCATTGTAAGCATGCAGTTGGGTGAGTTTTGATAAAACTCATTCTTGTAACCACCACCGTTTAGATTTTAGGATTTTAGCCTTGATTTTAAGAATTATCATAAGTGGGATCCCTGGGTGGCACAGCGGTTTGGCGCCTGCCTTTGACCCAGGGCGCGATCCTGGAGACCCGGGATCGAATCCCACGTCGGGCTCCCGGTGCATGGAGCCTGCTTCTCCCTCTGCCTGTGTCTCTGCCTCTCTCTCTCTCTGTGTGACTATCATAAATAAATAAAAATTAAAAAAAAAAAGAATTATCATAAGTCTCTATAGATGGCATCTATGCTGCTTATACCTCTTCTCATAATAATTCCAGTTTCTCAGTTTGTAACAAATGCTTCAAGGAACTTTTTGCGTGGTGTCTCTTCTTACATATTATTTGTTTAGGGTAGACTTGTAGAAGTGGAGTCCCAAAGGGTCAGAGAAGTTTTGTTGAAACAACTGTCACGTTGCCTTCTCAGAGTGTGAAATACCAGCTCTAGTTCTTCACCAGTATTGCCAGTTATTACTTTTGTTCATATTTTCTCTTTAAAAAAAAAAAACTGTAGACTATACATAACAAAACTTACAATTTTTACCATTTTTCTTTTTTTTGTTTTTTACTATTTTTAAGTATACAGCTCTGTAGCATTAAGTATAATACTCATGTTGTTTTGCGAGCAGCACCACCACCCATCTCTAGAAGTTTTAATACACTTTTTTTTTTTTAAGATTTTATTTATTTTTGAGAGACCCAGAGAGAGGCAGAGACACAGGCAGAGGGAAAAGCAGGCTCCCTGTGGGGAACCCAATGCAGGACTCAATCCCAGGATTCCGGGATCACTCCCTGAGCTGAGCTGAAGGCAGATGCTCAACTGCTGAGCCACCCAGGTGTCCCTTAATCTACTTTCTGAATGGAGTTTTTTTTTTAAGATTTTATTTATTTATTCATAAGAGACAGAGAGAGAGAGAGGAGAAGCAGAGACACAGGCAGAGGGAGAAGCAGGCTCCATGCAGGGAGCCCGATGTGGGACTCGATCCTGGGACCCCAGGATCACACCCTGAGCCAATGTCAGGCACTAAACCGCCGAGCCACCCAGGGATCCCCTTGAATGGAGTTTTTAAACACTGAGGATGGGGGATCCCTGGGTGGCTCAGCAGTTTAGCGCCTGCCTTTGGCCCAGGGCGTGATCCTGGATCCCAGGATCGAGTCCCATGTCAGGCTCCCCGCATAGAGTCTGCTTCTCCCTCCTGTGTCTCTGCCTCTCTCTCTCTCTCTCTCTCTCTCTCTCTCTCTCTCTCCTCTCTCTCTCTCTCTCTCTCTCTCTGTCTATCATAAATAAATAAATAAATCTTTAAAAAAAAAACAACACTGAGGATGATGGTATGAAGCAAAGAGCCGGGGCTAGGTTGGACTTCATGGGTTGGGGGCTTCCTGGAGGATATTTGGTGGCAAGGAGAGCCCTTGTCAGCTGTTCTGAACCCCAAGAAAACCAGATTGTGAGTTGTGGCCTGTTGGCAGCTGCTGCCTCCCGAGGATTACCAGCGATTTCTGGACCTGGGCGTCTCCATCGCGGAAAACCGCAGTGCCTTTAGCTACCACTGCAAGACCCCAGACTGCAAGGGATGGTGTTTCTTTGAGGATGATGTCAATGAGTTCACCTGCCCGGTGTGCTTCCACGTCAACTGCCTGCTCTGTAAGGTGGGGACGGGGACCCATGCTGCCCAGTTCCCCTAGTCCTGCCAGCAGCTCACTGCCATCCGGTGCTTGTTCCCCTGGGATAGGAGCTGTGACTCTAGCCTGTCATACCGGACAGCTGCATGTCAGTGACAGTGTCTGGCCCAGGCCCTAATCTGAGCCAAAGCCTTGGACCAAGCCCTGGCCCTCGATGGAACCTCAAACTAGACTGAGCCTCAGCCCAGTACCGAGCCCTGACCCTGGCCTCTCACAGAACCCCGATCCCAGTCACAAACTGACCCCAACGCTGGCCCCAGACTGAGTCTCAACCCCTGTCCCTGACCCCAAACCTAGACAGAGGCTTGCCGGGCCCTGACCTCAGGCCACTCCCTCCTCTCATCGTCTCAGCACTGAAGAGATTGGTCTCGAGGAGACAGGTCTGAGCCTCGTCACAGCCCAAGCAAGCTCAGTCTCTGAGAACCGGGGCTGTGATCAGGGCAGAGCCTAGCCAGGGACGGGGGGGTGGGGATAGCCATGGGGAAGAGGTGGTGTAGGGATTTTTCTGCCCTTAGGATTTAGCATACATGGCTATTATTATCATATGGGACCACCCCGGCCTCAGTGTCCCCTTCCATAAAGTGGGTACTTGGTTTATAAAGCCATGCCCTGCCCATGACATCATCTAGAAGCAGTAAGTGTCCCTCATGCTTCTTAACCCCTTGAGGAACTCACCTTGAGCCCCTCGCCCCTCTGCAGGCCATCCACGAGCAGATGAACTGCAAGGAGTACCAGGATGACCTGGCCCTGCGGGCTCAGAACGATGTGGCCGCCCGACAGACAACTGAGATGCTCAGGGTGAGGCAGGGTGGGGACTGAGGGCCTGGGGATTGGAGATCTGGGAACTGTCCGCGGGTGGGGGCTTCTTGGAAAGGGCTGTGATTCACATAGCCCTGAAGGCTCTCACCCCCTTCTGGCATCCTTGCCATCCAGAAACAGCACTTAGCTAGGACAAGTGGTCGGGTGGCGAGCAGCAGGGAGAGCGTCCACAAAGATGAGGCTGGACACAGCCTGGCCTGGGTGGAGCAGCGTAGGGGAGTGACCCCCAGGACTCCCCCATGAACTCCGCGGGGACCAGGGAGAGGTTGCTGGTGGAGCTGCCCCAGCTTGGCTGAAGGCCGGCTCCTGCTCTGTCCCCAGTCCATGCTGCAGCAGGGTGAGGCCATGCACTGCCCGCAGTGCCGGATTGTGGTGCAGAAGAAGGACGGCTGTGACTGGATCCGCTGCACCGTCTGCCACACCGAGATCTGCTGGGTGACCAAGGGGCCGCGCTGGGGACCCGGGGTGAGTCCTCTGGAGAGCAGAGGCCTGCGGGAGCTGGGGGGAAACTGCCCGGGGGCCTTGCCCGAGAGTGGGGGACAGCCCCTGGGGCGAGGCCAACCACTGCCCGTATTCATCCAGCTTGTAAAGTAAGAACGCTTTTTTACATTTTTTATAAATGGTTGAAAAGTACCAAGAAAAGAATATTTTGTGACCTGTGAAAATTCTATGCAATCCAAGCGTCCTGTCCATAAGTAGCGTGTTCTGGGAGCACAACCCCGTACACTCGTCGTGTACCGTCTCCGGCCGCTTTTGCGCCGTGTGGGCCGAGACCAGCTGAGCCCAGAACCCTGAAGTGACCGGCCCTTTACAGGAGAAGCTTGCCGACCCCCACCCTAGAGGCAGCCAGGGATTCGCGCTGGGGTCAGAGGCAGAGGGCCCCTGGGACTGGCGCCCCCTGGCCGCGTGGTCGGGCTGTTGGGATCCGGAGCCTTCATGTGTAAGGTGGAGATGGTAGCCCGGCCTCTGGCAGCCTTCCCCCGAGTCACGTGAAAACATGTGGGGCGGTGCTCAGTGGGTCCTGTCAGTGGGCGCTGCACAGGGGTAGCTGTCTTTATTAGGACCGTGTTCCCGGAGACGGGGGCTCATCGTTCATCCAGGTAGACACCAGGACAGACAGGCAGAGGGAGCTGCCCTCTCGGTGCCAGGATGGCACATCCTTTGCCAGCTCTGGGTCTAGGGGGAGCGTAGGCAGACCATGTAGTTGAGGGTGCCGTGGGAGTCCAGAAGGTCTTACTGACTGCCTCCATCAGGTAGCTGAGGCCCCGAAGGCCATTCGTAGCAGGAGGAGCTGCCCGAGGCACGCCCGGAGTGGGGCGTGCAGCCCTTTGAGGGTGTGATGGAGCAGCACGGGGAGGGCACTGTCTTCACTGCCGTGACGTTCTCTTCTCTCCATCCTCTAGGGTCCAGGAGACACCACTGGGGGCTGCCGTTGCCGGGTGAATGGGATTCCTTGTCACCCTAGCTGTCAGAACTGCCACTAGCTGAGGATGGCCCGGTCCCCAGGCTGACTCAGCCCCACATCCCCATGCTGCTGTGGGACAGGGCTGGTGCTTTGGCTTGGATTTCTGGCCTGGGGGGATGCCTTTGCGCTTGGCTGATACAGGCCTTGTAGAGACCAAGGCCCCTGAACTGTGTGGATGGCTTTGTTTGCAAGGGGTGTTGCAGGGGCCTTGCCTAAGCTTGCGGTGGGTATTGTCCATGGCTCTGTCTGCCCCAGGGCCTTTGCCCCTCCTCTCAGCTTTTCTCTGTGGCTCTTTCCTCTGCCTGACCCAGACTTAAACACAGCCCTGCTGGATGGAGCCTCAGAGAGCCCTGTGTGAGTCCACACTCACTCCTTCCACCACCCTCATCCGCTTAACGTTGAGCACCCATAACCCACGACTTCCCCATCAGTTTTCTGGGGCTGACTGTCCTCTGTCTTTGCTGTCGGAGGCCTGGGGCCTCTTAGAGAGCTGCTGCTAATCCTTTTGGGATCCAGGAGGAGGGAGACCTGGCAGTGTCTGAAGCACAGCCCATCAGGTCAGCTTCCATGTCTCCCTCTTTGCTGCCTGTGTAAGCTAATTAAAATGACTTTCCAGGAAGGAATGAGTGTGATGTCATGAGAGGGAGTGCAAGCCGTCGTGGGCTAGGACCATGCATGCAGACAGGATGGTGAGCCTCCTCTGGGAACAGTGGAGCAAGGGTGTGCCTGACCCCTGGGATCCTTGCCTGGGCCTAGACACCTCTGTGCCCATCTGAGGGGCAGCAGTCACCTGGACAGGCAGTTTGCAGTATGTCAAGGGTCTAGGAAGCAGGGTCTGCAGATCGGCCTGGGCCACAGGGGGAGGGCGGGGCCAAGGCAGCAGCTACAGACCACTAGGCCAGCCTTGCTGCACACTTGTGGCCCCTCAGTGGCCATCGTGGGTGGAAGGACAGAGATCCTTCAGGAACACATGAAGCTGCTGCAGCTGAATGGCATTGACTGTCCTCGTTTTAACATCTCAGGCAAGATGGCACAGTACTGGTGCGTCAGTATTAGTCATCACTCTGTGCTGGTCAGAGATGAATAAAATGTGGTTCTGGGTGTCCATTCCAGAAGTTTTGCTGCCTTCTCAGACCAGCACCCCCTTGTTGAGATCTGGTATTTGATGGTGAACACATCTGAGCTTCGATGTGGATGATCATCCCAACAAGTGGAGGGTGTCTCTGTTCTTCAAGGCCTGGCTGGATTCCAGACTCTAGGAGTTGGGGCATGTGACTTCGGCTGGGGGTGAGGGATGGGGCAGGGCTTGTTCTGGTCCCTGGATAGGCACTGCCATCCTCTCTCTGAATGACAAGACTCAAGAGCTGCCCCCTGGCACTGGGAGCAGAGATGTCTGAGAACATGAGTGTCCTGCCAGTCTCCCTGCCCTGGGAGAACGGGTCAGACAGCCCCTGCCGGGGAGGAAACGGAACAAGCTAAGGAGAGCGAGGCTGCAGGAGAGTGAGATGGGGCTGGGTGGCTATGCTCACTTGGCCAGTCTAGCCACAAGGACAGGCAGAGAGTTTGAGTGTGTGGCGGCCAGGCAGAGGGTCCAGAGTACAAATGGAGGGGTGCGGGGCAGTCCCACCGTCTGGCCTCCAGCACCATGCTCACATGCCAGCTGGTGAAGGATCCACGTGGGTGGGCCTCAAGTGCTCCCTACCGTGGGTCGAGTGGAGGTGCTTCTGTTTCCCAAGGGGTCAGCCCATTTCCGGGGGCCCAGACCACTGAGAGCCCAGTTCCAATTCACCGGGGCAGACTTGAAACTAAACCCCACTGGCTTTGAACTCAAGCCACCTACCTGAGGAAAAAGCGAGACGTCCCCATGTGTGACAGCCTTTTTCTCCTGGGGCAGGGGGTGCCAGTGGGAGCCCACTGTTCAGATCAGAGCAGCTGCTGCCAGTGTGGGCAGGAAGCGGAGGATGGGCTGGCTTCCCAGCCCCTGCCGAAGCTGGCCTTCGTCCTCTAGTGTCTGGGACTGGCACGAAAGCCGCTCACTTAAAAAGCAGGAAGTTGGAGACAAGCCCACAGCCTTGCTGGCTCACAAAGGCTCTGGGCAAATTCCAACCATCTGTAAATCTGGGGAAGACAACTAGCAAGTAGAGGGCATTCGCCAGAACAGGAAAAAAAGGCAGCAGGGACACAGCAGAAGACACAGCAGAAGATAGGAGAGGATGAGGGGTTGAGGGGATGCAGGGCAGGGGAAGGAAGATAGAGCTGAGTCTTGGGCCCCAACACCTCTTGGTTGCCTTTGGCAAAAAGCCTCTGGCCTGTTCTTCCCTGCAATCCCCACTCAATCCCTGCACGAGCGGGACTGGCTAGAGGCACTTATTCATCAATAAACTGTTCACCGAAATGGAAATAAAGCACTTGCACCACCTCACGGTTTGTAGGGCACTCCCACAAACATCTCATTAAGCTGCCCACGTGGGAGGGGAAGAGCCTGATCTCACTGTTCCTCACACCGGTCTGCAGTCTCAGAGCTGACACCCTGGGAAGTGACACATCCATACTCCCCAAACCACCCCCAGAGTCCCATCTCCTCCCTCCAGGGCTCCAGGCTGTCCCTGGCCTGAACTTGGGCACCCTTGTGCTGGCATGACCCACTCTATTTTCTACAAAACACACACTTTATTCAGCTGCTTTCACATGATTTCCCCTCCACCTGGCATATCATGTGGCGTTTCCTGTCCCCACGGCTCCAACTCTACAACGCCAACCTGCCCAATCATTCAGTTCCATTCCAACACTAACTACCTGGAAGTAGCATCAAATCCCACAGGTGAAAGGGCTCAATTCCATGAGACTGCCCCACTTCAGGTGCTAGCTGCAAATGGGGTGCCCAGGCTGCCCACATTTCTGCCCGGCCAACTACAAATTTAGGGATTTACACCACACGCCCGTCAGGTTCAATATTTTGCTAGAAGGGCTTGCAGAACTCAAAACACTTTACTTACTTATGTTTACCAATTTATTATTAAGGATACAACCCCACAAACAGTAAAATGGAAGAGATGCATAGGATGAGGCATGGGGGAGGGAGGTGCGGTGCCCCCCAGCCCTCTGTAGGTGCTTTGCCCTCCTAGCACCTTGTGGTGTTCACTCAGCTTTCGGAGAAGCTGAATCCTTAGTTTCTGTTGTGTAGGGACGGGCCCTTAGCAGCTCCCCCACTCCCCTGGGGGGCCCTAACTGCCACTTTATTAGCATAATCTCACAGGGAATCAAAAGGGAATCACTGTGAACAAAAGACATTCCTATCGGGATCCCTGGGTGGCTCAGCGGTTTAGTGCCTGCTTTTGACCCAAGGCGTGATCCTGAGCCCCACATCGTGGAGCCTGCTTCTCCCTCTGCCTGTGTCTCCGCCTCTCTCTCAGTCTGTGTCTCTCATGAATAAATAAATAAAATCTTAAAAAAAAAAAAAAGACACTATCTGGAAATTCCAAGGCTTTTAGAGGAACTGAGGACAAAACCCAAGCATTTATCTTAGCACACATTCACTTCCTTCAACGTTCTAATTACCAAAAATTCTACTCTTCATATTCAACCATCAACTCTGACAAAGCTCATTCAGTGCAACTCTCTGGCGTGTGAGCTCCCAGAGGCAGGGCAGTGCCCTGGCCAGCCCTGTAGACTCCAGGAGTGTCAGGCCAAGGGGCAGCATGGGCAGCTGGCCAAGAGCTGAATGATGCCTGTTTCAGCTTGTGTGCCATCACACCTCCCCTCTGGGCCAAGGAAACATTAGTAAACATCCCAGACAACACTGACTCTTGCCTCCAAGATGGCACCATCCTCAAGGTGGAGGCAACTGGGCACTGCTCTAGGCTCCCGCTAACCAACAGCTGGAAGTGTTGAGAGGTGTCAGAAGAGCTTGGCAAGAACTGCTCTCGACAGCTCCTCTGTGGATGGAAATTACATGTGGAGATAAAGCTGCATTCACATCAGACTGTGATTAGGTTCCCAAACCAAATGTCCACTTTTAGAGCTGAAGGCATCTAGAAGTATGTGGAAAAGATGCAAGATCACTTGGACGAATGTCCCACATCACCTACATTGTGGTTAGTGCCTCCGGGCAGCACCTGGAGTGTGTAGGTCATACCTCTTGCAAGCGAAACAGAAACAGGACTGCAGGTGTACCCCAAGCTCTTGGGGTAAGTCAAGGCCAACCAGGAGTCCCTCCACTCCAGCACAGTCCCAGGCCAGGGGAGGAAGGCTAGAGGAGCACCAAGACCAGAGGTCCATGGCCAGAGTCCACCCCTCAGAATTGGTGCACAAGGACAGAGTGTCAGGAGAGTGATTAGTAACCACATAAGGCTATTTATTTTATACAGGGCTCTGTACAAAATATTTACATGTATTCTTTACAGAATAGTAAACCACCGGAAGGTAAAAGGATAATGCTTTCTTCTCGCTGGCAGGGAGAATCTTGACATCAGCAAAGCTACAAAACAAGTGAACCCCCTCTTTAGGCCACAACAGACGCATGTGCCACTTGCTTTCTGGGATCCAAAGGCTGTGGCCCCGGGACCCTGATCCCATGCCCCTCCTTCCCTCTTCCCCATCAATTCCTTCAGTATTTATAGACAGGCCCCAGTGCTGTGGCAGGAGGCACCAAAGCTGCTATCTACCTGTAGAGGTGACAAGGGGGCAAACTTGCCAGGGGAGAAGACTGGGACCATCTGTCATATCACCACCTCTGGGTCCTGGAAGAATTTCCTTGGTCTTTACGAATCCACCACTGTCCAGATTAATCCATCCACATTACACTTACCCCAAGTGGGACTCCTGCTGTGGAGAATAACCCGCCACTCTAACCTTCTGGTTTAAAGTGCTTAGTGTCACGTCAAGTGACTCGGTGAAGCCGCCTCTCTGATCTCACTGCTCAGGGCCTGCGGCTGCCTGGCACACTAAATGCCCTCCACTATGTGGTCTGGGTGTGCTACGGGAGAGGACTTCTGGCATGTTCACTTTAAGAAAACACCTGCCAAGAGAACAGTGCCCAAGAGACCAAGAAAATGAGAGCATGTGGCTGCTTCATACAATACACATCAATTCTTTAAAAGCAGCAAAAGGCACTTTTTTTCAAGCCAGAGTTAATCTCAAACAAACTTGCTTTCGCTTATAGGAAAGCTATCCAGAAGGACTGAACGGTCGGTCTTGTCCCCTGAGGCCTGGAGAGCCCCCAAGAAGCCCGGGGCAAGAGCTGGCTGTTCTAGGTTTCCACCACACCCTTCAGACTGCAGTGTGTCCCTTCTGGTTGCCAACAAGGTCCAATGATGTTTTCAACCAGGAAGGAGAGACCAGCAGTTGAGATAAACTGGTTCCCAAAAATGAAGCCAAGGTAGTAAGTGGGTACCTACTTGGGAGGAGAAAAGTGGTCAGAAGGAAACAGAAGGGAAGGAGAGTTCTGGAAGTGTGGGGCTGTGAACACACAGCAGCTCTAGCTCAAGTGAGATGTTAAACAGCTAAGGAGAAAGGAGACTTCAGGGTCTCAGAAGCTCATCTTGGTGATGAGGACTATTTTTCCCGTAAAGGAACTATTGTTTTCAAGTGAGGGTACTTTACATGTTGGGTATATGTGATTCTA